ATCAGCCAATTTCTATTGCCCGACCACTCCTGGAAGTGTTTAAATAATAATAATAATAAAGTAATAGAATAACGAGTTTTTAAAAGAAATTCGGTCTCATAAACCGTTAGAGCACGGAGATTCGAAGTTCAATCAGTCGCCGGCAAAGGGTATCAGCATCAAGTTAACACCTTCTGTTCTTAAAATTTCTTTTATAAATCGTTTGTTATGTTTGTTAGTCTATTAAAACTGTTTGTTAGCAAATAGTTAAGTTAAAAATAATGAAAAGGTGTCAACACTCTCCACTTTATCAAATAATATACAATTGATTTTAATGCTTTCATAATATTTTCGAAAGTTCCAAATGATATCACAGGGAAATTCACTCGTTAGACTGATGAAGCATGAGAAATGAAGTTTAAAATGAACCTATACAGGTTGTTACACAATATTTTCCATTTTAAATAGAACGTGAAAAATAATAAAAGGCTGGTAATCACATACATCTCTGGTTCTATTAGTGTGCATAGGGCAGAAAGGGCCAAAAATTATTTATAATATATACTATAAATATACGGTATTATATTTACCTTAGTTGTTTCGTATCGACCCTCTAAAACCACTTAAAACATGTTTTATGCATGCCGGTAACCTTGTATTATACAATTTTCTTATTCGAATACTACCATACATACCGCTTGTCCGATAGAAAGGAGAATGTTGCAGGAGGTCAAAGTAATTCGACCAAAAGTAGTTATTGACCTCCTCCCAGAAGAGAGGATGGTCAATCACTATTAATTAATACCGGTCTACTATTAATAATTGAATTGTAATCCGTTTTGGATGGGTTGAGATGACCCCACACACATGGAAGTTGTTAACCTTAACGTCCGAAAGACTTCATATGATTTCTCTCGAGAAGGGTGATAGATAAAAATCGATACCAGATATGCTTAGGAGCAGGAGGTCCAGATTAACTATATAACTAACTACCAGAGTTCGATGGTTTTATCCACTCGGCTACTGGAAAGCGCTTATTAGAATATAGAAAGTACCATTTAGAAATGAAAACACTCGAGTTGTTACATGTGGAAAATTAAATTCTTATAGACTCTTCACAGGATAACACTTTCGATTCCACACAGTCGACAATATTACCAGGAAACGATGTCAAATAAGACGAATTCGTACTTACGGATGTTTTCGTTATTATTAACAGTATTTTAGAGCCTTTTCTTGCGATTTACACGCAGCGTAAGAAATTTAAGAAAATGAATTGCAGATTTACATTCGATTCAAACATTCCGTTTGCTCATTTACAGGTAGTGTTATCTACTGGCACTACGTGTAAACCAGCAAATCGAATGGGGATAGAAATTGATTGATTTACAGAAATCCAATAGATATTTTGGGATGGGATGTATGACATTACCTAAGTTAGGTGTATATAAACGTAACTGCCGGATTTAGTAGCAATTTGTCGAACGGCCTAGGAATATACAACGAACAAACAAATATCCAAACATTCTCATATAGGCAAAACAATCAGTATAGTAATATAGTAATCAATACAACACAATAATCTATGTCTATATGGTACAGTAATCAGCAATTTGATTTCTGACAACCAGCAGAAAAAGCTAAAATGAAGGAAAATGCAAGTTAAGAAAAAGCATTAAATTGATGGAAATTTAATATTGTTTCAATGAACTTGGCTGAGGAAGAAAAAATAAAATAACGAAAATAGAGATGAGAAATTANGGCAAAACAATCAGTATAGTAATATAGTAATCAATACAACACAATAATCTATGTCTATATGGTACAGTAATCAGCAATTTGATTTCTGACAACCAGCAGAAAAAGCTAAAATGAAGGAAAATGCAAGTTAAGAAAAAGCATTAAATTGATGGAAATTTAACATTGTTTCAATGAAATGAGCTTGGCTGAGGACAAAAAAATTAAAAAAAAGAAAACCAGTATAAAATAACGAAAATAGAGATGAGAAATTACTATAAAGCAGTGCTTTCCAACCTTTTTGGTTATGTGACACTAATAAGTATGTAACGATAATTATATACGGCTCAAATTCTAGAAGAGAAATAGAATATAAAGGGGATAAAGTACTAAAATTGATATCAAAAGAGGGAAAAGAGCTAAAGCTCTACTTTAATCCCAAAAATACGACGGCGATTGTATTTACAAGGGGAAGCACCCCAGACTTATATAAGAGAACGCCAACCATAAAAATGGAAGGACAAAACATTAAAGTAGAGAAAGAGATAGCATACTTAGGAGTGGTGCTGGACCACTCCTAAGTATGACAAGGGCATTTCGTACGACTTCGACGTAAGCGCTGATGGTGATAGCTGGAACAACACCGATTGACTTGATCGTACGAGAAAGGGCAAAAACGTACATGTGCAGGAGAGGTCACTCTATTCGGATAAGTGACCAAATATACAATGAAACAGACTATGAAATGCAACCAACAGCAATTCTGTTGCCAAGATTTTTACAAACGTAAGGCAATTAGTATAGCAGAAGAAGAGGAAAGAGGAGAGATAGAAATCTACACTGACGGGTCGAAGGTAGAAGGCCAGGTAGGGGCATCTTTCCTGGTCATAAAGACAAAGAGGAAATCTACCAAGATCAATTCAGGCTTGACGACCGATGCTCAGTGTATCAAGCAGAACTGTTTGCCATATTACAAACAGTGAGGTAGGTTATCGCCACCCAACTGTCCAGCTCTATCATAATAAACAGCGATAGTAGAGCTGGTATACACACAATTCAGCAGTTCAATGACAAGAATATAACGGCCTTAGAAATCGAGAAATTAATTGAACAATACGATCTAAAGGTAAAAATAAGGTGGGTGAATCCCACATAGGAATTAAGGGGAATGAAATAGCAGATGCTTTGGCCAAAGAAGCCACATTACTAACAGAAACTTCCTAATATAAAATCCCGATGTCTTATATTAAGAGATTGCTTCGGCAAGAATCCATAGAGGAATGGCTAGAAGAGTGGAGTTATAGTGACAAAGGGGGGCATACCTTCTGTTTGCTCCCTAATATAGAGAAAAGAATGAATGATCTAAGATGGCTACCAAATGACTATATAACAACACAACTGTTGATTAATTAATTGTAAACATTGTAATACAAAAGAGTATTTGGAAAGAATCGGAAAACAGCAAGAAACATCTTGTGACTGCAGTAATGGAGACCACAGCATAAAACATGTAATAAACGAATGTACTAAGTACGATATGGAAATAATGCAGTTACAACTGCTGGTCAAAGAGACCTTAAACATCTCAAGTTTGGACTTACACATGATAATACGGACTAAAGACTTAGTTCAGGAGGTGAGAACCTACACGCATAAGATAATGTCGTGAGGGAGGGAGCGAACTGCTCCCTTTGGCGACAAAAGTCGCAATCTTGTAAAGGCAAGATGCTTAGGTATTAATGTTTATACTTAACTTTGTTGTATGTATTAAGACTATAAGTTTAAAAGTACTATAAATAAAGTAAGCGTTTCCCTTGTGGTGCTGATAGCGGGACAAGGGTGACTCTGATCCCCGTATGGGGAAATGATGACTATCCAATGACAAAAAATAAGTATCTAAGAATTCATAACATACTTCACTGAAAGAAATCAAAGGCTTGCATATAGTATGAAGTAAAATAACACATTTGCAACAATTATTTTCCTCTAGAGGTGCTACGGTAGGTCTCAACCAATGTGTTCCTGCAGCTAAAAGCTTGTCAATATACGGGGGATTGAAGCCCCCCCGAAAGGAAGTCACGTCACACGCCTTCCTTTCGACGTTATTCGGTCAGATGACTACAACTTTTTCTTCTGATAGAAGAATTCGTTCTTCTGCTCTATACTTTACAGGCATCACGTGATAGAGTGGTGACGTCTTATTCCTAGCACATCATTTCCTCTGTTGTGACTTCAAACAGCTTGCTGAATAGTTTGACGAACTTTGCTTTAGTTACGCTTCCGTAACATCGTAACATTCTATAACGAAATCCACGACGATTTATTTTTTTTTCAAAATTAAGTTCTTATATAAGTAAACGGGGCTTCCTGCTTTTAATTAAGCCTTCTATATCTACACCAAACTTCCATATATCTGGCTCCGTTTTCGAGATTAATTTAAGGAAGGACAGACAGATGGAGGGCAGCGGGAATTTATAGGTTACAATTTTTAAAAATTGCAGCGCAATTATACAGACAAAAGAACTATTTCTAAGATTTTCCTTCCTGGTATTACAATGCACTTTTCTTAAATATTAGCGATTTTTCGTTTGTTTACTACGTTTCCTTAGTCCATCTTGTAAACGATTACAAGATAATGTCTGTTAATGATCTAGATATATATTATAATTCTAATAATATTTTGTAATTATAGTACTATACATTTAAGGTTTATCGTAATATTGGTAATAGTTACCATAGACTCTGTTTTTGTTGTAGACCGTTATTATATATAATGTAATTGAATAGGGGCCAGTAAGGCCGAAATACATGTTGGAATTAATTAATTAAATACTATGGGAGTATAACCCTGATTCATTAGTTCTAGTTAACTATATTTTTTGTAATTAGTAATATAGTGTTTCATACACTTCTACGTATATTTTTCGTGATTTTAATTTTTGGTAATTTATTATTCCTAATACAGTAAAGTCTCTATAATCTGACATACATTAGATCGATGTACCAGATTACTACATTTCGTATGTATGTAATGTAGCAGTGGCAGTGGCGCCTTGTACTTGTAGCTTCGTGCAACCCAGATGAATTTGAATAAGCGAGCTTCGTGTACAATGTTGACTTCAAGCATTTTTTGGGAGATTCTTTTTAATAAAAGATTAATTTGTAGATTCCAGGTTTTTTAGTCCGCGAAATAATGCTCCACTGCAATATACCAGTATAATAAAAACACTTGGTGTGACGCACGTGCAACAAATACGTGTTGTATATCGTTGTCGTTACACGTATTGTACGATATAGGCCTATGTATTGTCACACACATCAAGTGGTACACGAAAATTTCATCTGTGCCATCCTGAGATGTACTGTGAGATTACTGGACCTGTTGGACTATAAAGACTACTGTATTTCATTTTTCTACTCTTATTTTCTATACTAACATGTGTCATTCTTTTTATTTTAAATTAGTATTATTTTTCTACAAAATGTCTCAACGTGAAACGAGTGATTCCGAAATGGAGTATTTAGATCCGATGACATGTGAATCTGAATTTGACAACGATCTAAGTAGTTTTGAAGATGAAGATGACTTTGACTCTGAAAAGGATGTGTCTTCAGCAAGTATCTCCTCTCTCTCTAGTTTTGAAGATGAAGACTATGAGCCTGAAGATGATGTGGCCTCTCCCTCCTCCTCGGCAGAACATTCTGACAGTGATGACGAAATGGAAGATGAGGACTACCGTGAGGTTCTCTCACCGGAAAAACCTTACCCTTTTCCTTTCAATTTCCAAGAGGAATCTGGCCCAAAACATGTGCCTCCTCCAGAATCTCCTCCTATCGCATATTTCTATCTTTTTTTCACAAGTACTTTGCTGTCTCTTATGGTGGAGGAAACCAACCGGTATGCGCAACAAAGGATAAATGACATGGGGAATAACGTACCGTCTTATTTGAAGGACTGGACCGAAGTCTCTGTTTCAGAGATGAAAGGATTTTTGGCGTGTGTTCTGAATATGGGTCTAATAAAAAAACCAACTATAGCTTCATACTGGTCCACTTCTTCCTCTCAAGCCATTCCGTGGTTTGGGAAAATGTTTTCTAGACACCGCTTTTCACATTTGCTACGGTTCTTTCACCTCGTCGATAACACCAAGTTGCCTGGCCTTGGAGAATCGAGTTATGATCCCTGCGCTAAATACCAGCCTCTTGTGGATCATGCCAACAAGGTGTTCCGACACCATTACACTCCTCATCAGGAAATATCTGTTGACGAAAGCTTGGTGGATACCAAAAATAAAACCAGTCAAATGCAATATTTGCCAAAGAAGAAACATAACCAATGGGGTATCAAATTCTGGATGCTGTGCGACTCAGTGTCTAACTACTGTTTGGGATTTTTCACTTCTAAACGGACTAGGTCTCAGAAGGAGAAGCACAGCACCTCAGAATCTGGCTTAGGCTATACTGCTATGCGAATACTGCATGAGATTGGTATGTACCTGAACAAGGGGTACCATTTTTTCGTCGACAGATATTTTACGTCGGTGCCCCTTGTTCGCCACCTGTATTCTCTACAGACTTATATCACTGGAATTGTCCGGAGGAATCTTAAAATGCTACCCCAACAGTTCAAGAAAAAATTAGCAGTCGGGCAAACATCATATTTCAGGTCTGGTCCCGTGTTAGCCTATGGCTTCAGACAGAAGCAGTCACAAAAGAATCCTGTCTTTCTATTATCCAGCCACGCATGGGCGCGAGATGTAGAAGTAATTAGGAATGGAAAGGCTAAATTGAAGCCAGAAATAATTCAAAATTATAATAAATTTATGGGAGGGTTCAATACATCCGATATGGTATTATATACATACTTTGATGAAAAGAAGCCAGTGAAGTATTGGAAGAAAGTAGCTTTCAACATAATAGCCAGGATGGTGTTGAATAGCTACATTCTTTACAAAGAGAATTTTAAGGGACCAGGAAAAATAAAATCTCGATACGCATACCAAGTCTCCATAATCGAGAGCTTGGGGGGAGAATGGAAAGCCACGAATTTGACTGAAAACGACCCTGAAGAACCAAAGGGACTGAAGAAACTTCCAGGAAGAAAGGAAGCCCGTTGCTGTGTGTGCAGCAGTGTTGGCTTTAGGAGGCGGTCACGAACTGTGTGCACACATTGTAACAAGGGAGTGCATGGAGAATGTTTCCCGAAGCATGAATGCTAACAACAAAAGGAATATGCACAGTTTAATATACTTCTGGATCAAAGCATTAATTTTACATAAAATTTAAAAAAAACAATATTCTGTTCTTTACAGATTTACGATTTGCTTTTGTATTTTTTATGTACTTTGAAATATAATTCTATAGTGATCTTCACCGACATTTGTCGTCATACTGGGTTATTAGACAAGAAGATAAACGAATCTGCATGCCACAAAGGATATAATGTGTTATAATTCGAGAACGAATAAGACTATATGCAAGCATCTTATATGAAAAAGTACAGAACAATGTTTTCTCTGTTTCTAGCATAGTGGGAATAGAGAAAATTTTACGGACTTTATTCGGGAAATTTTGTTATATCGAAGTATAAACATTAAGTTGTAAATATAAGTTATTACATGTTGTTAAACTAATTTTATAATATAAACAATTGGAAAATACCTACTCTACCTGTAGTAGAAAATATCTGTGATATTTTTTCTACGTCTACAATACCAATGAATTTTTTCCGAATTTTTAAAATATGTGTTGAGCCACAGAACAAATATTCAGTTTGCTATTTATATTTAAAGAAATGTTCACTGGTTATGTTTAAAATAANGTATTATATACATACTTTGATGAAAAGAAGCCAGTGAAGTATTGGAAGAAAGTAGCTTTCAACATAATAGCCAGGATGGTGTTGAATAGCTACATTCTTTACAAAGAGAATTTTAAGGGACCAGGAAAAATAAAATCTCGATACGCATACCAAGTCTCCATAATCGAGAGCTTGGGGGGAGAATGGAAAGCCACGAATTTGACTGAAAACGACCCTGAAGAACCAAAGGGACTGAAGAAACTTCCAGGAAGAAAGGAAGCCCGTTGCTGTGTGTGCAGCAGTGTTGGCTTTAGGAGGCGGTCACGAACTGTGTGCACACATTGTAACAAGGGAGTGCATGGAGAATGTTTCCCGAAGCATGAATGCTAACAACAAAAGGAATATGCACAGTTTAATATACTTCTGGATCAAAGCATTAATTTTACATAAAATTTAAAAAAAACAATATTCTGTTCTTTACAGATTTACGATTTGCTTTTGTATTTTTTATGTACTTTGAAATATAATTCTATAGTGATCTTCACCGACATTTGTCGTCATACTGGGTTATTAGACAAGAAGATAAACGAATCTGCATGCCACAAAGGATATAATGTGTTATAATTCGAGAACGAATAAGACTATATGCAAGCATCTTATATGAAAAAGTACAGAACAATGTTTTCTCTGTTTCTAGCATAGTGGGAATAGAGAAAATTTTACGGACTTTATTCGGGAAATTTTGTTATATCGAAGTATAAACATTAAGTTGTAAATATAAGTTATTACATGTTGTTAAACTAATTTTATAATATAAACAATTGGAAAATACCTACTCTACCTGTAGTAGAAAATATCTGTGATATTTTTTCTACGTCTACAATACCAATGAATTTTTTCCGAATTTTTAAAATATGTGTTGAGCCACAGAACAAATATTCAGTTTGCTATTTATATTTAAAGAAATGTTCACTGGTTATGTTTAAAATAACAGTTTTGTTAATTTAATTATCCAAGAAAACTTCTAAATTATTTTTTTATATAATTTAATTAAAAATGGTAAAGTTTTTTCTTATTCTGAAAACTTTGAGATGTTAATTAATGCAAAAGAATTCGAGATTTTTTTCTGTATGTAGTACGATTTTGTTCTTCTATTTAAAGCTTAATAACTGCTGGGCGTTTTGTCGAAAATTTATCAAAGTTTGCAGAAACGTTTTTCGTCTTAAGGGATCGACCCTATTAAATTTTGGTGGTTAAAGGTCGACGAGATACAAGGCTGTCACGTGTCATATCTTGAGAGGGGTCGGACTTAACGATATTATATGTTGCCCAGAAAGTTAAAGAATTTTTTGCTGGATTTTATTAAATAGTTATTCCTGTTGGTTATTAAAAAAATAAACTTTTGAATATAATAAATTTATTTTTAAATGTAAAGACACAAAGAATATATAGGCCTATAAATACTCTTTCCTGACGAATCGTTACCAACATTAATACGGGAGAGGATTTGCGGTTAAAGATTTAAAAAAAACTTACAAAATTGGGTACCAAACGTGGCATATTGAATTTATTATATTCCAGAAACTAATTTACTATTTGTAAAGAAAACTTCATTTCTATTGGAGATATAACGGGTGCAGAATCTCGCCCGTCTGCTGTCTGTCCTTCCTTAATCTCTGCTTAAGAACAGGAGGGCCAGTTTAACTATATACGAACTTCTGGTTCGATCCAGAAGTCATGTTGTTTCAATTTAAAAATTTTTCCCTGAACACATACATAATTGGCATGACTATTACTAACAGGAAAAGCATGATGTACAGAAGCAAAACACTAATCTACTTTCACAGGCAAGTGTTATATGCTACCTGTCGCAGTAATTAAATATGAATATATATATATATATATTTTTGTAAGAATTACATTTAGTTTATTATTTTCTTAAATTTTTACTTTAAAATTGCTTAGGTCCTCGAAATGTACATTTTGGAGATCAAAAGTCTAATAAAAACAAAGTAAAAATTCTTCGAAAAATCGTGGTGCGATAAGTTTGTCCAAATGGCCAAAAAAATAGCTATAAAAGAATAAATTTCGGATTATTTTTAAATAATAATAATAATACGGGAAATATTCATTAACTGATTTAATAATTTACTTGATATATTACCTAAATCCTTGGGAAATAAACATAAAAATTATAAGGGTATCGATTGATAAGAATATTTTCTGTATTAGGCCAATGCAAGAAAGGTTTAGAATCCCTGACGTAAACAATCTCGGCCATTTGTTTTACATATTTTCTTCCAGGTGGCGTTTAACAGCCTCATAAAACCGTTAGTTCGCTGTTTCAAGGTCACTTTTGCTTCCCGCACTGAACTGAGTCTTTCTTTTGTGCCTTTGTTCTCGGTACTGTATTTTTATTGTTAGGTTTGCTTTGTGTTATAAAGGTAAGCTACTCTCAAACATTTTAATTTTATATTTATATTTTTCGTAGTACAGTAGAGTCTCTATAATCCGACATACATTGGACCGATTTACTAGATTTTCTGCGATTATAATGTAAAAGATTTTTAGCAGGGAAAGTCGGGAAATTGTCTGTCGATCACGCTCCTATTTGATGCGAATACGTATTTAATTAACTCTTTACAGTCGGTTGATGCTGTGGTGGATGATAAAGAACTGTCATTCGGTTTAACGTTGTGGTGTACGGGACATTTTGGAGGACATGACGCAATTCATGTGTTTTAATTCGTTGTATTCTTCGTTGCCAGCCACACGCGATATGTGGAGATGATAATCCTACCAATTAATCCAACTAATTGGAAATTTTCATCTTCAGATGGCCCACGGAATTTAGGAAGTTGATACTTTTCGGAAGTTTAGCGAAATATGGCTAAAGAATTTTCAAAAACACCCACTTTCCCGCCAAAACTACGTCGCTCCCATTGTAAGTTTCAGGAAGGGATGGGAAGAAATATAATGACCTGGAATGGGTCTGGGCTGTACCAAAAATAGGACGGGATAAGTGATTTCTTCTGTTTAAATATTTTGAATTTCCCACCTCTTTAATTTGATTTTACGATACGACGCGAGTCTTTTTTCTTATTTAAAGAGAATTTACGAATTAATTTAAACAAAATCGTGAAATTATTATACTGTTTGAGGCAGAAATAAAGTATTTTGTTTACATTAAAAAATTATATAATTATATGCACAATGGGATTAAATAGAGTTGGCCGAATATTTTTTAATGAAAAGGGGATATGCAGAGACGTTAATTGATCAGGAAAAGTCGGGTAATCAGATGGAATAATTATACGGTCTCGGAATGTACAGGTATGGCTTGAATTAGGGAGCCTCCTGTAGTGTTTTAACTTCAAAGGGTATTTATTTCGGTACTTATTCAGTTTGAAAGGTTTTCTTCCATAAAATTAATCGATTCTACACTAATTTTACTCGAACATTTCCAAAATACGTAGAATTTTGTGGGGATGATCTATATACAATATACTATAAGATAGAACTACTTACCACTTGTGCCCTGTTCGAGACGCCATTGCTTAAGCTTGTTTTCGTCGCGGAGCGGCACATTGGCGTACGAAGCGTGTCACGTGACATTGTTGGATGCCATTCGGTCACGTGACTACTACTCGCCTCGTTGCTCGGGCAAAAAGTAACGATAGTACGTACAGGCCACGGAGTCGCTCACTTTTCTTACTTTTTTGGTCATCTTCACGCGCTTAATTAGGAAGATGTGGGACCAATTTAAAATAGTTTTAAAGCCAGACAATCTGTCGAATTATCGAACTACCGAACTAGAATTTTCTAGAAAATATTCGGCCCTGAGCGGGACACAAAACCGCAATAGCCGCTCAGTGTTGTTAAATTATAGGAAACAAAAATCCCTTTCACGTACAGACCTGGAAAGTCACGGAATTACGTAAACTTGGCAGTTACGTTGAAATTCTTCTAATGTAGATTTTGTTCTGTATCCCGTCCCAAATTTCTATATATCGATTAATTTCTGTCTATATTTCATTGTTGGCTTTACATATAGAGGCAACTGTTGGAAAAAATTTAACAAAATAATGAACTAAATGTAATTCTTACGATACACTGAATTAATGCGACAATGATATAGAGCGAAATAGATGCACCATTAGGGTGCAAGCGAGCGAATTTTCCGAGCGAGCGAGAATATGTGGCGAGAAGAGGCGAGACGCGATAAATATCAAAACCTGTCAGATATGTGCGAGAACCAGAAATTCGCTCTCGCCAGCGTTATTTCTCGCTTCTCGTTTGTGCATGGTTTTCCTTTGCGAAAACTAAATCGCTCGCAACCTCTCGCTCGCTCTAAATTCGCGTCTGCATAGTCGCACCCTTACGCCTTTACTGCGATAGACAGCACATAGCACTTGCCTACGTGAAGTGTAGTAATGTTTTATCCCTGTACATCATGTGTTATCAATAGAATTGTGCCAGTTATGTATCGAACTCCGGCCAGAGGAAATATATTTGAATTGAAATAACGTAACTCTTGGTAAAAATCGGAAGTTTATATAGGCTCATAGTTAATCTTGTTCTCTTTTTTTCTTACGATTTCCACACCTATCTCGACTTTCATCTATCTCACTCCCTTCTCGAGATTAAGGAAGAACAGACAGTCAGACGGACGACAGTGGGAATTTATGCCTACAATTTTATGGGATCACATAAAAACAATTATTCTTGCATTAGTGTGGAATAGTTATGGTGAATATATATGGTGTTAAAGTTAAAAATTAAGAAAACTTAATACAATGTCGGCCTATACTCGTCGAAAAGCCAAATCAAAATATAGAAGTCGTATACGGTTGGAAAGGGCTTCTCAAGAGCAATCCAATGATACCCATAAAACACCATATGATAGAGTGAAGCGGTGCCGGAAACGTAAAAATATTACTCGTATTTACGTAAAACACACGGCCGTATTTCCGACACTGCCACATCCCCCCTTTTTTTTATTTTATTTAAACAAGGCGTATATCAAGTCATTCAGACATTAACGTTAGCAACTTGGGAGGTTACCAGCCTGAACAAAATACGATTTAAAGGGTTTTTGAGTATGCCGAAAATAAATATTTGGTCAATTTTTCGCGAATTTGATTCGTTGGCAGATTATCATTCGATATTCGCCTGTGAATGAAACAGTTTGTTAGTGCGAACATTAGAAAAAATACGCATTCAAAGTTTATTTGATGCAAATAGTACATTTAAAAATTGCACTGATCATTTTTTAAATAATGACTTTTTTTCTAAACATCATTTAGTCCATTTTTCATCCATTATGTTCAATAGACCTTTTGCTATAAAATATTTGTATAACCTTCTTCCCTATGTAACAAACCTTAGTGACTTTTCATTCGTTTATTTAGAAACAAATTTAAAAAATAGAAAATAAAGTATAAAGCAATCTACAATTGAATTTTTCTCACTTGTATTGTATGTAATTATATCGTATTGTACAGTACAGTATTGCTATATATGTCTAGAGATTTTTCCCAGGCCCCGTCGTGGTTCCTATTAATGTTATATTTACTAACAAAAAATAAAATCATTATGATTGCTTTTTGTTAATAAAGAAATAATCTAGATATTTTATTTGTTTAAAAAAAAAACTACAACTGAAGGGACCTACTCTATCCCTTGGGACTCCTACAACTCTTTTAAAAGTCTAACTGCAGTTGTGCGAGAGTACAGTCGTTATTCCAAAAAGTTGCATACTGTACCGACTTTTTACCTTTGTGCTGCATAATATCTCCAGCGAAGAAATACTTATGCAGTTGTAACTATGAAAAAATGTAAACCCTTTAAATTAATAATTATTTAATTTCACAAAAGTACTGGTTTGTCAATACAAAAAGTTTGATTACTGCACTAACCAGGGCTGTGGAGTCGCGTAAAAATCTACCGACTCCAACTCCGACTTTTCCTTACCATCCGACTCCGATCAGGGGCGGATTTGTTACCGAAAGAAACCCGGAAATTCTGATGTCATCACGTGACTTCAGAATAAAAGATTCAATAAATAGAGTTCTAATAAAGATAGAGCGTAGAAACTTTTTATTCCAAAGCTAAAAGACTTCTCTAAGTAATATGTATTCTATAATTTTTACTTATCCGGCTGTTATATATAACAGAGGAAAAGTGTAGCGCTCGCTCAAAAAACGACCCTTCCCAAATTTTTATATTTTTGGACTCAGGACACCTTGAAATTTCGAGATATGCAAAAGATTCGAGGTTTTTTCTATATGTGTGGATGTTAGACTGTTTAGGGGGGCATGATTTTGTTCACCATGTTTGAAGCCTAATAATTTCTGTGGTCAGAGTAGTCAGAATCGGAGTCGGATGGTTTAACACAGGAGTTAGTTATCAAGCGTCAAAGTGGTTGAACTAAATCGTGTCCCCATTTCCATTCTAACATCTTAGGCGAGAACATCTTAACGAGTTTTATTGTACTATTATAAATAGCTAGAAAGCTTACTTTGAGGGTATAGACGAGTTTTATTTTATTTTTTTCTAATTTTGAATGCTAATAACGAGTAAAATATTCATTAAGAGATATGACACATGACCACTTTTATGTCTTCACCCTGTCGACCTTTAATTAAGAACCAAAATTTAATAGTATTAATGCCCCTTTATACGCAAGCTACAGTGCCACATTTCGTTTCTTAAACTTTACCCATTCTGAGATATTGTTTAATATCTCAGAACAGAAAATAAAGAAATTAAACAAATTAGACGCCAACACACACGCGCGCGCGAATTTTTCCCCTTTATTGACTTTTTTGAGGGGTTCGGGAGGTCTCCAAACGTGTAGATTTGCAAAAAAAAAAAAAAAAAAAACTTGGAGGGTCAAATTTGACACGATTCCAATACTTTTCCGTTTTATATACATAACGAGTTGTTAAGTAAAAAGGAATCTACTGTTTTAGATCAGTGTTTCTCAACCTCTAAAGAATCGTCGCTTCACTCCAAAATTCCGATGCCGAGGGCCAAGGCTAACACCGAATTCGTACTGCATTGAATAGACTATTGACTAATATAATGTTATTTGTTTAATTATTGTAAGATATAATGAAAAAATATCTAATTATTCTTAATATAATGTTTTACTATATCGTCCAGAAAATTGTTTTTCGCCCCCCAAAATATAAATTGTTACAAATCGCCCCCTCAACATGGAAAAACGCTCACATGGTGGGGGCGATATCGCCCCAGTTGAGAAACACTGGTTTAGATAAAGGAAACGAAAGTTTTTAAATGCAATTAGTCACGTATCTTACATAAATTATACGTATAATATTGTTAAATAACTTAAGTTTAAATTTTAAAATAAAATTATATTTTTGTAAATTTAGATAAGAAATTTCTATTTATTTAATTTAGAATTAATGTATAGTAA